AAACACGGGGGTGCTTAACTTTTTTCCAGGTGTATATGTTTATATATATGTCATTACAGCATACATGAAAATACATGATTTGTCACCTACATGTTCCTAGGTGCTGAGGAGGTTTGCCTAGAAACAAAAATAGTGTTGCTATTGTTATTTTCGACTTTGAAATTTGCGAAATACATTTGTTTACGTGTTACCAAGAGTAATATTATTGAAAACAACTAAAAACACGTTAATTTCAAAGAGAAAATTCTCACGTTTAAACTTATCAGAAGCTAATCTTAAAATAAAGTTTAATAATCGATTCTTCTTGCTGACAGTATAATCTTCACATAAAAGGCTAAATTCGTAATTTTATTGAAAGTAATAATCCCACTGTTTCGATCCTGTTAAGCTAGCGTAGTTACACAATAGTTCTCATGATGTTTGAAGTTATACTCAGCTACATTTCCAACATGATTTTCCTGGTTTAAAACGTTCGAGGTAACCATTGCCAAATTCAGTGACAAGAGGGCTGTTTTAAAGGTCTAACGATTACGTAAAGCTAGTTACGCAAGCCTAATAGAAACAAGTTAGAGCAGCCACAATGAAACTGTAAATATTAATAGTATACTGGACATAATTTATACTATAATATCAAATATTAGATAAAATATTATATAATATCAAGTATTAGATATAATATTATGCAATATCAAATATTAGATATAATACTATGTAATATCAAACATTAGATATGAAGTTCCATGTTGTGCATTCTAAACGCATTCAGTTAACAATTAACGAACTGTTGTTAGAATAGCAAACTTGGTCCTGGAGAAAAAACTCGTTGCTCCAGTTTTAATTGGGCTAGGTTCATCTAGATCCAAATTATCACATCCTGATAGGATTATCACAATGCTGTTATTTTTCAAAGTTACTCATGTGTTAATATTATTGGTTTACGGAGAAGGTATTATGACTATACGTGTTATTCAAGCCACAACAGATGTTGTTTCAACCTTACATGTCTATTTATTTAGGATAAACACAGGGTAGAAGTTTACACTCAAATAGCGTGGATTCCACAAATGAATTTATGAGTAAGGTGTATACGACTCATATAATCAAGTACATTTTGAATAACAGGATGAACTAATGGCACAATTAATATATATGACTTTCGATAATTTAATCACAAGCATTAATGTAGCAAGAGAAAGTTGAAAATTACTCTGTTGTTGCACAAATACTAGGATCATTTTGTAGTTTTGCAGAATAACGAACTAGCACAAACATATTAAATAGAGAAAAGAAAAAGGAATGAGCAAATTAAAGTTAACAACTTGCTGATCTGTTCATTGTTGCCGTACTTTCAAACACCTTCCAACGTTATCAAAACTATGGAACGTAGTATTAGTTACTGCCACGATTTAAAAAAAAAAGACTGGCAGCAAAACACTGCACCTGAAATATATATTGTTTTATCAGAGTAAGCTTAGTGTATTTAACTTGGTCGCTGTTAAGCATAAAACTACACAATGAGCTATTTGTGCTCCGCTCACAACGGGTATCGAAAACAGTTTTAGGGCGTCGTAAGTATGCTGGCTTACTGCTGATGGGGCTAATGTATTCGTAATAATAATCTTCAGTATAGCATATATGTACTGATATATCATAATATTGTCATTACAAACTTCGGGTACAGAGTTTATAGCGTACTCTATCCAGTCTTTTCTGTTTGTTTTGTTTTGTTTGTTTGAATTTATGCGCAAAGCTACACAATGGGCTATCTGTGCTCTGCCCACCACGTTGTAAGCCCGCAGGTATACCGCTGTGCCACTGGGTGGGCCAGTCTTTACTGTGTATATAGATAGATTTTAAGAGTTTTTTTCTATTTCTTCGACAGATGTATCTAAACCACTACGGGTATATGAACGAGACAAGCTCTAAGTCTTCTTCCCTAATTGATTATGGTTCTCTGACGATTGCCATCAAAGACTTTCAGAGGTTCGCAGGTTTAAATGAAACAGGTAGGTGTTATTGATGTGGGACAATATGTTGGATTTATATGACTGAAATGTTGTTGAAAATCAAAGAGGGTATTTAGTAATATTCCTAGTAAATATTTACTGTGTAGTTGCAATTAGTACTGATCTGTAAAATGTTTTAAAGTCTGTTACATGAATATAAGCAACAACAGTGACGTGTGAGCGATAACATGCAATAAAAGACATATTTATGGTATCATTCAGTAAAACCTTCAAAATGTTAGATAACACTCTGGGGTAGTTCGTGTTGAATTCGTTAGTCGATGTGACTACTAAGTGTAAAATAAACAATTTATACGTTCATCCACTTTGTTGTCTAAGCTGGGTGGATCGAAGCTTGTAGTCTTACTCTTGACCAAACACACATAAAGATTTATTTATTTTTCTACATGTAGAGAAAGTTCTAGAATTCTGTGAAACCTCCGCCACGTTCAAGGCCGAGGTAAACGTCATTCTTTTCCTATACCTTTTCTTCTTAGATGTCAGTTTACGACAGTACTGTTCAACCAGAAAATTATGTGAGACTCTAAGCGCATGCGCCGTCACTCTTAGCAAGTCATGGTACGTAATGCTTTGTGTTGTATTTACCTTTATCTCTTTGATCAAAGACGTTTGTAACAAGAGATGGAATGATGTTTCAAGAAAAAATAAATTGAGTGTTTGAGCAACAAGGCAATGTAAATAACTACATTACCTAGTGAATTAGTTTCAAAACTAAGAACCGTTAGGCTTATCTTCAGTAGCACTGAGTCTGGAGACAGGCCAAAAGAAGAAACGAAATGTCCTTGTATACATTACAACTTGTTTGATAATATATTCTTCCTCTTTATGCTACACGATGACCTATCTGCCCTTCGCCCACCTCAAGGAATCAAATCCCGGACTTATAGCGTTGTAAGTCCGTAAACTTACCGCTGGCTTACCGTGGAACTTATGATTTATAATCGTTAATCAGAAATTAACTTAATCTTAACATTTTAGAGACAATTATTCTTTGACATTAAAAGGACATCTATATTTTACAAATTTCTCTAATATAAAATGCTGATAATTCAGTCCATTTTTAGTAAATTACAGTTGAAAAAAATGTTAATTTTCATAACAACATACTTTACAAATTTAACCTTGAGTATAACAATGATTTTATAGAGCTCAATGTCTATTTTTATTATCTTACTATAAATCTAATTTTACCTATTTGTAAAGGAAGTGATTTGTCGGTAGCAACTCCCAAGACTGTCGGTTTTTTTTCCAGATAAAACCGGTTATAACATACTTTGTTTGAAAGTGGAAGAACGATATATTGTTTTTCATGTAATATTTTCCAGCTGCTGTTTTTTTTTTCACTCATATCTACAGTTTAAAATCACATTAAATGTTCTTATTGTTACAGCCCCCAGTAGCACAACGGTATGTCTGCCGACTTACAACGCTAGAATCCGGGTTTCGATACCCATGGTGGGCAGAGCACAGATAGCCCATTGTGTAGCTTTGTGCTTAATTACAAACAAACTTATTGTCAAAAATTATAGTTTATCTATATTTTCCGCAACCAAAGTTTTATAAACAAACGGGCCTAATCCTAAGGGTTCTTAGATAATTTCATTAAACTTGCTAATATTTTTACCATTGTACATGTACTTGACTTGTGTCACTTTTCCAGACCGAATTCTTTCTTGATTTTGTTACATACTCTTTCCTAACACTCGTGAACAGTTTTTGCCACTGGCCTTCGTGTACTTGGATCCTTACCTGTAACAAATGCTGCATTTTGCTGATCATGGCTAAGGTACGACTTGATACAAGCATCTTTTTTGGATGGTCCTAGTTCCTCACGTTGTTCCATATTCCTTTGTTTTCTAATGCCATTAATAAAAAAAGTGACATCCACGTTTTGAAAATTCTAATTTCCTGATCTAAAAACATCTTTATGATTTGAGTATATGAATATTTGGCATCGGAAAGCGCTGTTACATACCCTTGTTATAAGCGATCAATTTTTGGTGGCATCATATAACCTATGTAAGCTAAACGAGGTCTAGATTTAGTTCCAATGCCTTCTGTTCACTTGGGACTTTATATGGGCTGTAGTTGTTTCGTGACTTGCTGATTTGCTTATTCAGAATTTTTTTATATATAACTTACTCAACCCTATACTGTTAGACTACTCTGATATAATACTTTTTTAATTTGATTTTTCCAAACACACGGTACAAAATTTTTGTATGAAATCGTGAACTATTAATGTACTTATGTAGTTCTTAATAAATAAATGACCTACACATCTGGTTATATGTATATAATCTGTTCCTATTACTGTCATACCTACCCTTAAAAATCTGGTCATATGTATATAATCTGTTCCTATTACTGTCATACCTACCCTTAAAAATCTCGATATATGTATATAATCTGTTCCTATTACTGTCATACCTACCCTTAAAAATCTGGTTATATGTATATAATCTATTCCTATTACTCTCATACCTACCCTTAAAAATCTGGTTATATGTATATAATCTATTCCTATTACTCTCATACCTACCCTTAAAAATCTGGTTATATGTATATAATCTATTCCTATTACTCTCATACCTACCCTTAAAAATCCGGTTATATGTATGTTACGACAGTGGTAGTCACTTGACGAGTATTCTAGAAGATTCGCTAGTGTGTTACGTGACGAATATTCTAGAAGATTCGCTAGTGTATTGCGACAGCGGGAGTCAATTGACGCTGGTAGCACGTGTTGAGAGTCTTAGAAGTTTCTAGAACAGGCAGTATTATCGTATATAAGTGCGCTAGACAGTGAGAGAGACAGACGGAGTCGTAGCAGTAGTGGAGACAGAGACGGAGTCGAAGCAGTAGTGGAGACAGAGACGGAATCGAAGCAGTAGTGGAGACAGAGACGTAGCGGAGACGAAGCAGGCAGAGAGAAAGAAAGACAGCGATTACGGTCAGCGGGAACTGAGGATAGCAGACACAGAGATCGGAACTATAGTTTGTGGGGACAGACAATTAAGTCTAAGCGGGATAGAAAGTGAGTGAATTGTTGTGAACTATAGTGTGTGTAACTGTGAAAATTAAGTACATTGCAAAGTTGTATTGAGGAAGAATAAACAAGTTTTATAAAGAAAAGACTTGTATCTTAGAAGAATTGACAAACAAACATACAGAGACGTAACAAATTCGTGTCAGAAGTGGGATAAAAAATAAAAATAAAAAAAGAAGATGGAAACGATGAGGCGGAAAATCAAACTACAGCTTAGCAGATTTGATGGCAGCAATACAAGAACAGCAAAAGAAACAAGAAGAACGAGAAAAGAAATTACAGCAGTTGTTGGAGGAAAAAGAAAATAAACAAGAAGAACGAGAAAGGAAACAAGAATA